CTCTGGGTCCCCGGCGCTGGGAGCGACACCTGCTCCGCTTTCAGAGGGCACAGGTCACCCTTCCTCAACTGCGGTGAAGTCTTCGATGCCGTAGCCGTCGTAGACCTCGATCCCTTCGCAAAATACTCCGTCGGGCTCCCTCCCGCCAGGCGACTCAATGCCGCCCTGCCGTCGTTGATGGTCCCCCACTTCGCTCTCGCGGCGTGGAGGTCCCAGGCTTCCGTCACCAGCCTCTTCTGCAGCGGCGTACTCGCACTCCAGTCCGTCTGGCACGTCTTCTTGTCCGTCAGGGTCGATGGATGTATCCAGCCATTCGAACAGCCCGTCGCCATACTCCTGATCGCCGCTATCGTCCTCGAAGTCCGATGCCAAGTTGACCTCAGCTCCTTCTCCGACAGGCTCGAACTCGACCTCCTCGACTGTAGCGGGAACGGAAGCCCAGGTAGACTCCTCAGGGGATCCCTCTCCCTCGCATCCTTCTCCCCAGTAGTCATCTGGGACCACCGAGCGACCTGCGCTCCGACGTACGGGAAAGCCAGCTCGCCACAGAACGGCGCGAGGCTCTAAGTACAAGAAAGGCCTCGACGCACCGACGCCGCCGTGGAAGACCCCACAACCGATCGTCAGGAAGCTCACCAGCCCGATGTAGCACCACCAACCGAAAGACGTGTCCAGCAGGAAGCTCGGCACGACAGCGGCTCGCCGCCGCGGCCGTGGTAGAGAGGATTGACCCCTCAGGCCTTGGCCAGAGCACACCACGATAGCTCCGGCCGCAACCTATTCGTCGTCGCCGGCGGGCTGCCCCGAACGCACCTCGCCCAGGTGCTTGTTGAGGATCGCCCGCCGCCTGAGCTTCTCCAGCACCTCGTCGTCGGCCCCCTTGTTCTCGCTGTTGGGGTCCCCGTCGAGGCGCAGGTACTCCTCCGCCAGACTCCAATCGACCTTGGAGCGCCACTTGCCGCCGTGCTGCGCCTTCGGCCTCTGCCAGTCGCTCTTGCACTGCACCCGCTCGTAGGCCTTCCAGACCGAGTAGAGGCGCAAGCAGGTCACCTCCGCGGCCTGCGAGTTGATCAACTCGTCGTACTGCCCCTGGCTCATCGTCTTGTCGAGGACCAGCGCCAGCATGTTCAGCTCCTGCGCGATGCCCGCGCCCTGCAGCTCCTTGGAGCGGAGCCACTCCTGCGTCTCCACGCGGGCGCCCCGCCCGCCCTTGTAGAGCTTCGCCAACACCGTCGGCGCCACGCGGGCCTTGATCCCGCCCACGGGGGAGCCCGCCACGCGGCGGTACTTCTCCAGCGTCGTCAGCAGGCTCTCCTTCGGGTTCCGCGACTCCTCCTTCAGCTGAACGATCTGGTCCTTCAAGGGATCGTCGAGCTCGCCCAGGTCCCCGACCTTCTCCCAGGACGCTGCGCTCGAACTCGGCGTAGGCGATCCCGCCTGCGCCCGGGTGCTCGAGCCCGAGTCGCGCTGCGCCAGCTCCTCGTGCTCCGTCAACATCTTGATGAACGCGTCCACCTCGGCCGTGCTGGGCTCGCCCACTCTGGGCGGCGGCGGCTCCGAGGGGGGCGGAAGAGGCAGCCCTGGGTCCGACGCCAGAGCCCCACCGCCGCAGGCCGGGCCCGCCCCCGCGCCGCCACCGACGTCCAGCCTCGACTTCAGCATGCCCACCGCGTCGGCCAAGTCTGACTGCCCACGAGCCAACTCCGCGAACAGGGTCTTGGCGTCACGCTCGTCACCACTCACGTCGCTCACGTCCTCGCCAGCGTGCACTGACCCGCTGTCCGAGTCCGAGCCTGAGTCGCTGTCCGAGTCGCCCTCCTTTCTGCAGGAGCATCCGTAGGTCCAGACCGCGTAGATCCCGATGAGGATGCAGCCCAGATACGCCGCGCAAAGCTCAAGGTCGCCTGACTCGTACAGCTCGCCAACGAACTCACGGAAGTTGTCCAGGTCCTCGATCGCCTGCATCCCCGCGGAGATGGTGTGGTACCCCGCGGCGAAGAAGGACCCGAGGTGCAGCCACCGCCACAACCTCCAGCCCACGAAAAGCGCCGCCGCCGTACCGCCCCACGTCTTGTGGGCCCAGGCCGTCACCACGGTCGACACGAGCCCCTTTCCGAACCAGGACGCCACCTTGGTCTTCGAGCTCGCCTTCTTCCCCTTCGTCGTGTTCGCTTTGGCGCTCTCGGCGCCAGCCTGGCCCAGCTCGTGGCGCACGATGAGCCGCTCCGCAGCTATGATGGCCTGCTCCCTCTCCTTCTCGGTCAGCCCTGGATGCTCGGTCCAGGTCACCCCCTTCTTCGGGCGCGGCAGCATCCGCGCCTTGTCCCGAAGGTTTATGATCTGCACGCGCTTCGCGGGATCGATCGCGGTCCACACCAGCGAGGTCCCCGGGCCGACGCGGCTCACGAGCAGCATCACCACGCCCGTGTTCCTCCCCTGCGCCTGGACGTAGACGCGGTTCCACCTGCTCCAGGGCGCCATGAACCCTGCCGGCGAGCCTGTCCACCCGGCGCCGCCCGCGGGGTCGAGCGGCTCGACCAGGACCTCCTCGGCCTTCTCCTGGCGGCCGCCGACGAACTCCAGCAGCCCGTCGAGCTCGCAGAGGGCGAGCGCCGCCACCAGCAGCCAGCCGGGACGCCCGATGGCCCGCGTCGTGGCGGCGCCCGAGCCTGTCGGGCTCGGGGCGAGCAGGGGCTGGAAGCTACCCCTCTCTGATGGCTCGAGCGCGGGCCTCGCCCGCGAAACCCGCTTCTCGAGCCGAAACTTTGCGCAAGGAGCGGAGGGGCAAGCACGAGAGAGAACGAGCTAGCCCTACTCCTAAAATACAGTTGAGGCGGCTATCTGAACGTTTAAAGGGGGCGTGTAAAAGTGTGTTTAAAAACGCGTATCGATTTCCTGGAAAATATGGGAAAATATGGGAAGTGGTGGGGGAGACAAAAACCCAGAAAATATAGGAGGAAAATATGGGGGATCTGTTTATTTGTGTGTATTTATTTGTGTGTCCCAGGGCCCCTTCATACAGGAGGAATAATAGACAAATCGTCAGATGAGTTTGGAGACGGTGCTTCGGTTCTTTCTTGATTAGGCTTGGGCCTTTCTCTTAGTATTTGTTGTGTTTCGTCCAAGATCCGCCTGTATGGGGACATGCCCGACCTAAAGGTACCCATACTGATACTTCGGTCGTAAATCATGGGAGCCTGGTATACCCTTCGGGGGCGGCCAAGAGAGGGGTGCTGACTAGGGGGTGGTGGATATCATGGCGGGGTCCATGATATCTTCCCCTATTTCATGCTGCCTCTGATTATTTCAATACGTCCCCGGCCGCCCCCCCTGGGCCGCGCACATGCCGCCAGTCATGATTTGCGCCGCCCCCCCCTCTTGGACGCCCCCCTCTTGGCCGCCCCCGAGAGGAGGGAGAGGTACCCATAGTGCTACTTCGGTAGTAAAACATTGAAGCCTGGTATACCCTATCAGTTCCGTCTGGGAGTCGATGAGGTAGCGCCGATTTAGCGTCGGTTAGTGTCGATTCGCGTCGATTAGCGTCGACTTGCAAGAGCCGACGAAAGTTGCCACGGAGCGCTGCCCTTGGCCTTTTTTCCCATTCGTGTTCCTCCTGGGAGACCCTCTTCGCCACCACTGGAATCGCCCGAGCCCACCTGTGGAATCGCCTCGAGATTCTGTTCAGAGCGCACCCCGGGAGAGGTTTGGGGAGTAGCAGTATCAGTTCGGCTACAATTTAAGAGGAGTGACCTTTCGTCAGGGTGACCTCTGGTGCGGACGCACTGGGATCCCACGATGGCTGAATGCGATGAGATAGCAGCGGCTTCCGCGATTGAGTTTGCCCCCCCCCCCCCCCCCCCGCCCCGCGTTACGCCGTGCACCACGGGTCACTCGTGCCCAGGGCCGCTCTTGCGTGGAGCCAGTCGGTACCGTTTGTCGGCGGCGAGCGATGGGGGAGAAGTGAGCAGGAGAAGGCCTGCTCAGAAGGCGGTGGGGCTCGCCCCCGGGCGCGCCGCCTACTGCGAGGGCCTTGCGGCTGGTGCCGCCGACTCTGAAGGGGGAGGGCGACGACATCGTCGTCGACGGCGGCGGCGGCGGCGACGACGACGACGACGACGACGACGAAGGGCCAGAGTCCTCAGCGATGCTCTGTGGGGCCTCTCCGGAGCGCGCTCGTAATTAGGCCTCTGGGGGCAGCGAGGGGGGGGGACGTGAGACGGAGACGCACGAAGGCCTTCCCGGCAGGCGGCGGGGCTCCCCCCATGACTCGGCTTCCAGGTTCCAGGACTATAGCTTTTGAGAGCATCGAATTACCAGACAAGGGTCTTCGAAGCTGATGCTGCCGGCGGGTCTCCCGGAGGTTTCCAGGATTGATCGGCCTCCCAGACCTGCCTCGCCCGTATCCTACGGAGGATTCGTAGCGGCTCTGGGGCCCCCGTGCGCGCCGCCTGGCTTGCTTTCCCCACAGGCTGCCTCCGTCCGCCCGCGGGCCGCTGGCCGCGCGGGTCCTCGACGTGCTGCTCGCGGGCGCCCCGCAGAGCCTCGGCGAGGACGTCGCACGGCGCATCCCGGCGGCGCGCACGGCGTGAGCCGGCGGCGAGGTGCGTTCCCTGCCTTAAGTCGGGCCTGTCCCTCTGCAGGGGGAATATCCCAAAATGGTCAACAATAGTCTGGGGAAGTGTTTTTGTTCATTTTTGGCTACTTCGGAGTATTTTTGGCGTATTTTTTTAAATTTTGTCTTCCAAACTGCCCCTGTAGGGGGACAGGCCCGACCTCAGGCTTGGGCCGGCGGCGAGATGCGATCCCTGCCCCGACCCACGATTCAGGCAACTCGATGGGCGGCGGGCGGCGGGGGTTAGAGGTTCATCCGAGGTGGGATTTCACCGCCTGGAGGGTCAGTTTTCGGAGCTTCGGCAGGCGGCGGATATCGACATATTCGGGCCCCCAGGGGCCGAAATATCGGAGGTTGGGGGGTGAGATCGCAGTGAAACGCAGACACCCCACCGGGAAATGGGTTTCGGTTTCGTGTTCGCGTCGTGCGTGCGGGCGAGGCGAAGCTGCGCGTGATTCTCCTGTAGCTAGGCCGAAGGAGGAGCGAAAGTCCGTTCCCGTCCGCCGGTGGCTGGGAGGTCTCCCAGTTGGGCCGGGCGGTGTCCTGGGTGTCCCGGGTGTCAGTAGGAGCGAAAGTCCGTTTCCCGTCCGCCGGTGGCCGGGAGGTGTCCCAGTTGGGCCGGGCGGTGTCCTTGGTGTCCCGGGTGTCCGGGGCGTCCCGGCGCTCACGCATGTCGCTAATTTCATAATTCGTTCCCAACCATCCTGTGGTGTTGGGTCCTCGTTTTGAAGAGACGGTCCCCGCGTTCCTCTTCTCGTCTCCTCCTCCCTCTTCCATGCGTTTCACCCACCCAGCACAGCGTTTCGTGGCCCCATAGGGAGCTCCACCGAAGCCCTCAGTGACACCGCCCGCATACGTCCGCCACCACCCAGCACAGCCCTTGCTCCCTGCGTTTCGCCCACCCAGTGCAGCGTTTCGTGGCCCCATAGGGGGCTCCACCGAAGGTCCCAGTGGCACCGCCCGCATGCGTCCGCCACCACCCAGCACAGCCCCTGCTCCCTACGTTTCACCCACCCCTGTACAGCGCTTCGTGGTACCATAGGGGGCCCCACCGAAGGTCCCAGTGGCACCGCCCGCATGCGTCCGCCACCACCCGGCACAGCCCCAGCTCCCTGCGTTTCACCCACCCATTATAGCGTTTCGTGGCCCCATAGGGGGCTCCACCGAAGCCCCCAGTGGCACCGCCCGCATGCGTCCGCCACCACCCCACCACCCAGCACAGCCTTTGCTCCTTGCGTTTCGCCCACCCAGCACAGCGTTTCGTGGCCCCACAGGGGGCTCCACCGAAGGTCCCAGTGGCACCGCCCGCATGCGTCCGCCACCACCCAGTACAGCCATTGCTGCCATCGTGTCACCCACCCAGCACAGCGTTTCGTGGCCCCATAGGGAGCCCCACCGAAGGTCCCAGTGGCACCGCCCGCATGCGTCCGCCACCGCCCAGCACAGCCCCTGCTCCCTGCGCTTCACCCACCCAGTACAGCGTTTCGTGGCCCCATAAGGGGCTCCACCGAAGGTCCCAGTGGCACCGCCCGCATGCGTCCGCCACCACCCAGCACAGCCCTTGCTCCTTGCGTTTCACCCACTCCTGTACAGCGTTTCGTGGCCCCATAGGGGGCTCCACCGAAGGTCCTTGTGGCACCGCCCGCATGCGCTGCCACCACCCAGCACAGCCCTTGCTCCCTGCGTTTCACCCACCCAGTACAGCGTTTCGTGGCCCCATCGGGAGCGCCACCGAAGAATATATTCACAATTGCGGTACTCACAACTACATATGGTTGGGTCTTTCGCCAGGCTAATTTTATCCGGCGCCTGCAGCGGGCCTTCTTATCCAAATCCAGCTTATCTTATCCAATCCATCTTGTCCAACCCAATCCATCTTATCTTATCCAATCCGTATTGTCCCATATGATCTTATCCCACCCAATCCAATCCACCCAACCCACCCAATCCATCAATTCATTTGTTTCTGCGCCTGCGGCGGGCCAAGCCAATCCATCTTATATGATCCAATCCATTTCTTCCAGTCCAACCCGTCTTATCTGGTCAAATCCATTTTATCCCATCCAATCCAATCCACCCAACCCAATCCATCAATTCATTTTTGTCGGCGCCTGCGGCGGGCTGTCTTATCCAATCCGTCTTGTCCAATTCAATACATCTTATCTTATCCAACCCATTTTGTCCCATCTTATCTTATCCCACCCAATCCATTCCATCCAGCCCAATCTATCAATTCATTTGTTTCTGCGCCTGCGGCGGGCCAATCCAGTCCATCCTATCTGTTCCAATCCATCTCTTCCAATTCAACCCATCCTTTCTTATCCAATCCATCTTATCCCATCCAGGCAGAGAGCAAGACAGTTGAGATCAAGGTGACAGGCTGGAGGTCAGTCAGGGTGGGCATTTGATTTCAATCCCCCCAACCTCCTTATCGCCCGCAGGGCGGTCGTATAGGTCTCCATATCCACCGCCCGCTGGGGCACCAGGACGTCGGTTCCCATGCGGTGGGTATGGATAAATCCCTGCCTCGCAGTTCAGGCCTCGAGGATCGAGGTTCGAGGCTTGTTGGCCCTCTGGGGGGCCCCCCTCGTCGTCACGGCTGGGCGCAGCTCGAAGAGCTGGTTGCGTCTGGACCCTGGCAAGGGCCCGGGGGCCCACTCTGAGCGGAGTTCGAAGCGACCTTCGCCGATTAACGATTCAGGCAGCTCGATGGGAGGCGGGGGCGGGGTTCGGAATTCGTCGAGCACGTGGCGAAGTCCGAACCCAACCCCCGCCTCCCATCGAATCAGGAGAATCGATGGTCGGTGGCTGGTAGGGTTCGGATTTCGCTACCTAGGGGGGGCAGGGCATCGGACGAGGGTCTGAGGAGGACGTTGGTACCCAGGCACTCCAACGTCTTTGCAAAACTGAAGCCTTCGTTTTTTCTTGGTCTTCGGCATATGGGGTCTCTTGATCTGTCGCGGGACTATCACAAACAACGACTCAGGTCGAACATCTAGCCCTGAGCGTGTAAAGCCTGGGGCCCCTTCCCATACTCTGGGCCCCATCATCCCTCAGGGCTCCCCTCATCCTCTCTCGGCAGTGCAGAGGTGGGGCCCAAGCAGTGTAAATTCAGCCTGGGATCCCTTCTTACCCTCGCGGCCCCATCCTTCAGGGCCCTCCCTCCTCCTTTCTCGGCGGTTCAAAGTCGGGGCCCCGAAGAGTGTGGAACTGCAGCCTGGTGTGCCTTCCTACCCTCAGGTCTGCGACCCCTCGCGAACCTTCCCCCTGCGGGCCCAGTCGTCGCTGGGCTAGCGGACACCTCCGCTGGGACTCCCCTGGCTGCAGACATCCATGGTCGCTTGTCATGTTGTGCTCAGGAAGGTGGAAAGCCATAATTCCCAGGCAATACTTGAACGAGCGTGCTGATCATTTGGCCGAGTGCGGCGCCAATGGTATCTCTTGTGGCATTGTTGATGTCCATCGGTGGGCCAGCCTCACTGGCAGACCCACTCGTCCTCTGAGGACAGGAGGCCCCTGCCCAGTCTCCTTAACTCGAGCTTCTGAACCTCACCTGGCGTTTTTTAGAAAACCCACAGGGCAGGGCTTCCCTCGTGTGGCTGCGCATCTCTGCGCCGCCGGCCCACGCCCCGCCCCCGCTGCGCGCGCCGCCGCGCATCCGCTCCTGGGCCGAGGAGCGAGGAAGAAAGCGGCACGGGCATTCGAGCAGTGGCGGAGCGTCCTGCCTGACCTCGAGGCCCTACCGAGGAGTGTTCCAAGAGTCTTTTGTGGTCTGCACGGGATGTTCTCAGAACATGTCTGCCTTCTTGTGGCAGCACATCGGATCCATGTTCTAAGCATACTGTTTTTGGTCCTCAGAACGTTTCTGGGTTCTGGTAACACGTCATGGTAGGGCTATAGGAATCCGGGGATGGTGGTCCCTGCTCAAGACAAGTCGTCGGAGCTCCGCGCCGGCCCTTGCGCGCCTCCGTGCGCCAGGGAGGGGGGTCCAGCCCTGATCCGAGACATCCGCGTGGAGTTCCGGTAAGGTTCGCGTGTCGACTCGGATAGGACACTGGCGCGGACGTTCAAGGTTGAACGCCGTCAGTGGCCCAGACTCGGCCAATATAGATCGATCTGGCGATGGAGCAATCGTCGAACGATCTGCGCGGCGTCAAAGAGAAAACGGCGCCGCCGCCGTCACGACACGAGCCTGCCGTGGGCCGCTCGGCCTTCCTCTGGGAGGAGCTCCGGGCATGCGGCCTGGAGCTCCTTCTAGAGGAAGGCCAGGTCGCGTTGGGGCCTGGCCTTATCCTTTGGCAGGAGGAGGAGGAGGAGGAGGAGGAGGAGGAGGAGGAGGAAGGAGGGAGGAGGAGGAGGAGGAGGAGGAGGAGGAGGAGGAGGAGGAGGAGGAGGAGGAGGAAGAGGCCAGGCCTCTGGCCTCCAGCGCGGCCCTGCCGCTCCCCCGGCTCACGGGGGCGCGGGTTCGCTCCGCCCTCCTCCTTCTGGAGGTCGGAAAGGGGGGTGGTGCCAATCGTAGACACGACGATGCTATCTACGATCGGTAACCTCGCCAGATCCAGCATTGGCACCACACCCCTCTACACCGTGCCCCTGTCCTGCCCCCAGACACCCTGGGAGGAGCTCCAGGCCTGCGCCGGCGACCAGGGCGAGCAGGCCGTGGGGGGCGACGAGGCCGCCGAGGCCGCCGGCGGCGCGGCGGGGCTCCGGGCGCTGGCGCGCGTGGTGCGCTGGCACCTGCGGCCGCGCGGGCCGTTCTGCGAGGCTCAAGTCGGGCCCGTCCCCCTACAGGAGGAGTGTCCAGAAAGAGTCACAAAAAAACAGTCCGGGGACGGTGTTTTGACTGCTTTTTGGGTATTTGTTTGACTGTTTTTGGGCCGTCTTGCGGTTTGGGCCCAGTTATCCGCCTCTAGTAGGACCTGCCCGACCTAATATGAAGGGGCCCCAGGACGCACAAATAACTACACACAAATAAAATTATTCCCCCTATTTTCCCATATTTTCTGGGTTTTTGTCTTCCCCCCACCTCCCATATTTTCCCATATTTTCTGAGGAATCGAGGATTCATTGGGTCTGTGTGCTTTTTCCTCTCCTGATGATCTGCGAGGCGCAGGCGGACTTCCTGGAGGGCCTCGGGGGCGTGCTGGGCGCCCGCGGCGGGGCGCCGCCGCCGGGGGGCACCGGCCTGCAGGAGCCGAGGGAGCACCGAGAAAAGCAGCGGCGAGGTGTCCCGCCTGCCTCGGGGCCCATCAGAGGGTGTCCTCCTCCTCCTCTTCTTCCCTCCTCCTCCTCCTCCTCCTCCTCCTTCTCCTCCTCTCCTTCCCATAGAGCGAGCAAGCGCGCGCGCGGAGCACCAGAGGGTGGCAGAAGCAGGTGTCCTGGCCTGCCTTGGGGCCCACCAGAGGGTGTGCTACGGTCGGGCCTGATTCGGGTTATGGCCAGGACCCCAGGCGAGGGTACTCCAGATTTTGTAATAAAAGGGAGGGGGTCTGGACCCTCCAAGACAAGCCACTTCAGACCTCCCCCGTGGGAGAACCCTCCAAAAGATCGTCCCCAGACCCCCCAGGCCCTCCAAGATAGCCTGGAAGAGACCCCCCCGCCGAAATGAGACCCCCCTCCCTTTATTACGAAATCTGGAGTACCCGGTCAGTAGTGGGGCCCCGGGCCCCCCAAATTGGCCAGACTCTCTAGAAGCCAGGTCTGCCGTAGCTGGTGTTTTTTCGGGTGACGGCAGCCCCGTTGAGTGGAACGGAGCGGGGGGCGTCCCCCAGTACACATCACTAAGCCAGGTCCCGCTAAACCCAGTTCTGCCAACGCCCGATTGATTGGGCAGGGCACGCGAGAGGACACGAGACCCATCCAAGGGCCGCACAGGCACAGAAATGCAGGAGGCATGGGTTGCGAGGCGCAGGACGCAGGGGTACTCTTGAGTTGGCAGGGCCGATCTACTGGTCAGGGCCGGCTGCAGGAACCTTTCGCGGTTTGCACGAGATGCTCTCAGTGCTTTTCCGAGACAGTCTTGCTTTAATCAAGTGGTTCGATGTTTCACAGAACTATGATATGGTTACCAAATCAGCTTCCATTGGTTCTGAGAGCATTCCGTGGTAGGCCAACAGGAATGGCGGGAGGGTCTAGACTCGGGCAGAATTATTTGCATGGCATTTCCCCTCCCGCCCCCACCCCCCATCCGCCGCCTTTGCATCCAGCGCTGGGCCGCCTGGCCGACGAGACGTGCAGGTGCGTCCCGGCTTGCGTGAAGTCCAGATGTCCTTTCGGGCCTCGCCACGCCCCCCCCTCTCGTCTCCATGCAGGTAAACTTGCCAGAGTCAATTGCTTCATGGCACAAGCATCAACTCTGTACGATCTGAATGGGCACGGAAAGAAGGGAGACGAAAACCAACAGCAACCAACAGCATGGCATTCCCACCCTGAACGGGACTCGTTGTCGGTGCTTCCGCGGGAGTGACCCTTTTGAGACAAAACGTGGCCTGTCCAACATCGACCGCTGTCGGTTTGGGAGGACATCTGCTGTTGGACATAGTGCGCATTTTTCCCGTACCCATTGCGGGCGTCCACATGGACTTTCGGAGTTCCGTGCGGAGTTCTTAGTCTGGTGTTGGACCCACCTGCGCCGGGGAGGGAGGTCGGGGAGAATTCGTGGTCTTCTCATCTGTTCCGGGTTTCCGTCGTTTTCGTAGGTTCCCGCGGTTTTTTTACCTAACAGCGAAGACTGATAGGTTTCTAGTGGGATCAAAAGAGAGCAGCAGATCACTCCACAGGGGGGTCCGGGCAGGTGTTGGGAGTTGCCGGGCGGCAGGTGCCGGGCTCGTTTTTCACCAACAGTCACACACTTCGTGCTCTTCGACTTCCCAGAACTCCATTCCCAGGCCACATTCTCAATACCCGGATGCAACAGTCACACACTTCGTGCTCTTCGAGATCCCAGAACGCCATTCCCGGGCCACATTTAGAATAACCGGATGCAACAGTCACACACTTCGTGCTCTTCGAGTTCCCAGAACTCCATTCCCGGGCCACATTCTGGAGGGCCGGATGCAACAGTCACACACTTCGTGCTCTTCGAGTTCCCAGAACTCCATTCCCGGGCCACATTTTGGATGCCCGGAGCCAACTGTAGGCCACTTCGTGCTCTTCTATTTCCCAGAACTCCATTCCCGGGCCACATTTTGAATGCCCGGAGCCAACTGTAGGCCACTTCGTGCTCTTCGAGTTCCCAGAACTCCATTCCCGGGCCACATTTTGAATGCCCGGAGCCAACTGTAGGCCACTTCGTGCTCTTCGAGTTCCCAGAACTCCATTCCCGGGCCACATTTTGAATGCCCGTAGCCAACTGTAGGCAACTTCGTGCTCTTCGACTTCCCAGAACTCCCATTCCTGGGCCACATTTTCAGCAGGGGCAAGAGCACGACGAGGAGGAGGACGAGCAAGACCAGGAGGACGAGGACGAGCAGGAGCAGGACGAGGAGCAGGAGGAGCAGGAGAAGAAGGACGAGCAGGAGGAGGAGGAGGACGAGCAGGAGGAGGAGGACGACCCGGAGGAGGAGGAGGACGACCAGGAAGAGGAGGAGGAGGAGGAGGAGGAGGAGGAGGGGAGGGGGAGGAGTACCAGGAGGAGGAGGAGGAGGAGGAGGAGGAGGAGGAGGAGGAGGAGGAGGAGAGGAGGAGGAGGAGGAGGAGGACGAGGACGAGGAGGAGGAGGAGGAGGGGGGGGGAGAGTACCAGGAGGAGGAGAACGAGGACCACCAGGAGGAGGAGGAGGAGGAGGAGGAGGAGGAGGAGGAGAGAACACCAGGAGGAGAAGGACGAGCAAGACGAGGAGGACGAGAACGAGGACGACCAGGAAGAGGAGGAGGAGGAGGAGGAGGGGAGGGGGAGGACTACCAGGAGGAGGAGGAGGAGGAGGAGGAGGAGGAGGAGGAAGAGGAGGAGGAGGACGAGGAGGAGGAGGAGGAGGAGGAGGACGAGGAGGAGGAGGGGGGGGGAGAGCACCAGGAGGAGGAGAACGAGGACCACCAGGAGGAGGAGGCGGAGGAGGAGGAGGAGGAGGAGGAGGAGGAGGAGGAGGAGAGAGCACCAGGAGGAGGAGGACGAGCAAGACGAGGAGGACGAGAACGAGGACGAGCAGGAGGAAGAGGAGGAGGAGGAGGAGGAGGAGGAGCAGGAGAAAGGAGGAGGAGGAGGAGGAGGCAGGCTGAGGCTGAGGCTGTGACTGCGACTGCCGTTGCCGCTGCGACTGTCATCGCGAATGCGACTACGACTGCGAGAACAGCAGAATTCGACAACTGGATTTTCATCTGAATCTTAAGGGGAATGCTTTCAGATATGCTTCTACACATCGCTGTTAGGTTGCTTTGCCGGGATAATCCCGCTTCGGGATGCCCTCCAGCAGCCGCGTCTCGCCGAGAGGCGTCCGGGCGTGCCCAGATTGTCCCCAACGGCCGCCAGAGACTCGAGTGACGGCCCAGATGCCAGAGGGCGAGTTCCTTTGGCTCGCCGGAGCATGCATCGACCCCCCAGTCACCCATATCGCGCCGCAGCGAGGGGCGCGACAGCTTTAGGTCGGGCATGTCCTCCTACAGGCCCAGGCCGATCTTCGACGAAAGATGAGCATGAAAATACTTCTCACGCGTGCTCAAACAATATTCAACACCGCGTCCCCGGACCATTTTTGACCCGTTCTGAATCTTCCTCCTGCAGAGGGGCAAGCCCGACCTAACGATAGCCCGCCCCGCCCAGGACCGTGCGGGTCCGCCGTCGGGGGCATGTCGGCAAGGTATTTCCGACTCGGGCTCCCCCCCCCCCCCCCCCCCCCCCTCTGTCGCTGCCCCTCGCGGATCCGTATCGTTGACCCGATCCCCATCCCCTTCGAGACCCCCCACCAGATTACCCCTCCCAGTTGAGGACACGACCCCCTCGAAGCCCGAAGGGAGCGGCCCATATCCCCATCTGGGGGGGTAAATCGGCCAGTGGGGCCCAGCCCACGCTGGTGGGCACGGGGATCGGTTCAGCGGTACTCAGAGGAGGTTCCCCGCCTGAGCTAGTCCCCCCCCTCCCTGCAGTTGCCCCTCGAGGAGGTGCTGCCGCTGCTCGAGGCGGCGTTCGGCGAAGACCTCACGGTCGAGCTGGGCGCCAGCGGCAGGGAGGGCCGCGTCTCGGCCTGCGTCTGGCGCGGGGAGGAGGGGGGCGTCGAGCGGGAGCTGCGCGTCACGCTGACCGTTTGCCAGGACGGCGCGTGGACGGCTCTTGCGGCTGGCGGGGCCGCCGAGATCCTCCAGGCTGAAGTTGGGCGTAGTCCCTCTACAGGAGAAATCAAAAATAGTGAAATATAGCCTGGGGACGTTTTTTTTTTTTTTGTTTGTTGTTTTTTTTTTTGCCTTTTTTTTCTGTTTAACTATTTTTGAATATTTTTCCCCAATCGGTGCTTGCACTGAAGGGGTCCTAGCAGAAGTTGAAGGATTTGGCGAAAGTTCCCCGCCGATTTTGGTGGCATGCCAGGGGCCTGGGTTCCCGGGTTACCGGTTCCGGCTTCCCGGGTTCCAGGTTCCGGGTTCCAGGCCGATTTCGGAGGGCGGCGAGGTTCCCGGGTTCCCGGGTTCCTGGTCGATCTTTTTATCGATCGGTCTCACCATCGATCTCATTACCGATTTCTCGATCGACCTCACCATCGATCTCACAATCGATCTCATTATCAATCTGACAACCGATCTCATTAGAGATCGCATGAGCGATCTCGCGATCGATCTCACTATCGATCTCATTGAATCGATTTCACTCGGTCTCACGATCGACCTTACAATCGTCCTCACTATCGATTCATTTCTCGATCTCATTATCGATCTCACAGTCGGTCTCAAGATCCATAGTATCAATTTTCAAATCATCCACTGTTTGGGTTTTCTCTCAGGTGTAGTTTTGACAACATTTCAAGTTTCTGTCTAAAATCCGCCTGTAGGCGGACACGCCCGACTTGACTCCAGGCTGACGGCGGTGCTACCACAAGCGACGAGCTTGTGCTGAACGCCATTTTCAGCGCGTGGCATCAGCTGGGGCGCGTCAGCGTCTGGGACGCGTTCGACATCGCGAGGCAGACGTTCTGCTCGGGCCCGGCGGCGGGCGCGCCCGAGGCCGCCGGGAGGAGCCGCGCTGCCGGCCTGTGGCTGGACTCGCGCAGCGGCGCCTGGTTCTCGGGGGAGTCTGAGCGGTGCGGTGACCACGCCGTGCGGTGAGTCGGTGGGTATTCTCCTCCTCCTCCTTCCCCTCCCCCTCCTCCACAATTGCTCAATATGAATACTACTCTCCCTCTTCCCCGGATGGCGGCCTGAAAGTAGCCGACCCCCTCCCGCGTCCCGCCTTTTACACACAGGATTCCCGGGAGTTGGGTTTTCGCCTGCATTTTTTTCAAAATGCTGCTCTCGCCGAGGCGCCGGCCTCATTTTCGGGCCCCGCTCGTTCCGAATCGTGCTCCCGCTGCAGCGCTGGCCTCATTTCCGTGCTTCCGCTCGTTCCGAATCGTGCTCCCGCTGCAGCGATGGCCCCATTTCCGCGCTTCCGCTCGTTTCGACTCGTGCTCGCGCTGCAGCGCTGGCGTCATTTCCCGTACCATGCCACGGCATGCAATGCAATGCTAGGTTGATACTACGCTTTGCGGTGCTCTTCTACGCCATGCCATGCCGTGCTCTACAATGCATCGCGTACCCTTTCGGGATCATTGCCCTGCTCGACATCCGACTGTGCGAGTAGAGAGGGGATCTGCGCTATGGTAAGGGATGGGAGGAAGGGGTAGGATGTCAGATATGACGCGAGCGCACCTAGCTTGCCCTCCCCTCCCTCCTCCTTCTCCTCCTTCTCCTCCTCCTCCTCCTCCTCCTCCTTATCCTTACAGCACGATTTTGGGATTTGCGCCGATCTCCGATCGGACGCCTCGGGCGACTTGCCCAACGGCGGTGACGAATCGTGCGGTGAGGCCTCTGGAGGGGTTCCAAGGTCCCTGCGCGGTCTGGTCCCCGCACCGCCTTCGGGACCCCCCAGACAGGGGATGTCCTGCTTGATTCTACACGCGGTCTCTGCAAGTTCCGATTCCCGCCAAGGGCCCCACAGGCCGAAAACAGCAAACAAAATCCCGTCGTGTCTTCTTATGCTCCCAGCCATCCTGTGTTGAGTTGGGTTCTCGATATGAGCCCGCCCGGCGTCCCTCCCTCCTCCTCCCCCTCCTCCCTCCTTCTCCTCCTCCTCCTCCGCCTCCTTCTCCTCCACATCTGCCCCATCCTCCTCCTCCTTCTCCTCCTACTCTTCCTCCTCCCTCCTCCCATCCCTGCCTCTGTCCTCCGCATGTCCATGTCGGCATGCCCCTCACACGTTTCGAGTCCCCATCGGCACCAGGTGCTTACTAACCGGACACAGTTTCTTCGGCAGGTGATTTTCCAGATTCCCCAGGGGTTCTCTGACATGGTGGTCCCAAGCTGGAACCATGTGTTTTCATGTGTCCAGGCTACCCCGGTGGATAGCTAATAAGTGGTCCCGAGTTGGAACTGCGGTCGCGGTCGTCGCCATCCGCCGTCCTTGTCGTCGTCGGCGTTTCGGGCCGCCCCTTCTCGATGCATTTCGCCTCGGCTTGGATTCGCCCTTTTCATTTCGCCATGTTGTGGAACATTATCCTTTCAGACTGTCTCGATCGCGTTCAGGTTTGGGTGAGCAGTGCGCTCAGGCAGCCCGAGCTTGAGGCCCAGCTCAATTCTGTCAGGATTCGGATGCCAGGGAAGATTTTTGATCCACGACGCAACAGAGCACAGAACTGTTCAGATTCGCCCCCTTTTGGTTCGCACCGCTTCAGAACTGAATCTGATTTTGAGCTCGAGCTGGTCGAGCGCCCCGTGCGTTTCGATTGCGGCCAGATCTGGATTATGCGTTCAGGCAGCTCGAGCTTAAGATCCAGATCAGTTCGATCGGGATTCTGACGCCACGGGCGACCGAATCCATAATGCAGTAGAGCACAGCACTTGAACGCGGCATGGCGCGTTCATCACATTACAGCACAGCAGAGCCCCTGGTATTGTACATCACCATCGCTACCTTGATCATCGCAATTGTCTATCGCCCAAATTGGGTGCCTTGAACCATTTCCATGCTTGACATTTCTATATCCCTTTCAGGGCTTGTGGGCCGATCATCTTTTGGACGCGAGTATGTCTGGGGATGCCAAAGGGTACCGATAGCGCTGCTCCCAGGACCTCTCCCTGGGTGCTTTCTGACCAGGATCTCGAGGCGAATCCAGCTGTGACGACGAAGGCCTCCCGGGAGGCCTCCTCCTGAGTGTCTGGGCCCCGAGGTTCGAGTGGAGGCCCGAGGGCTCCGCCATGGAGCTCGCCTTCTTCACCCTCGGCGAGGTGGCGGAGCGGGCGGCGGCCGCCCTGCCAGGGGGACGAAGACGGACATGAGCATACACCTTATGCGATGCTTAAGAAAACTTTTTTTTTCGGCCAGAGTCTCGATTATTCTTAACGTTTCAATGTTAATCCTAAGATTTGAATGGAAATGTAGGGCTTTTATTCAAGTTCTGAGACTATGAATTTCTTAACCCATGATTTCTTAAGCATTTCGCAGGGTGTACAAGACTCGGAGGTCCGCGCGGATGTCTCGGTCTCCGCGCTGGGACCCCTCTCCCTGGCGCGCGGCCCGCGCCAGGGCGAGGGGTCCAGGGCCGATCCGAGAGATCCGCGCGGAGCGCCAGCAGTTTAGACTTATGGCTTTCTCTTCTGTGGAAGAGGAGGAGAGGATCCTCGCAGAAGGCAGCGGGGCTTCTCGGAAGTCCCCCGGCCTTCCGAGGAGTGCTCTGTGTGTCTCCGGGGGAGCTTTCCAAGGAGCTATACTCGGAAGGCCGCGGGAAGGTCCAGCGCCGATCCGAGGAGTCCGCGCGGACCTCGGAGTTTGTATCAAGGGCGCCCTCGAGGGCGAGAAGTTATTCGCGCTTCGCGCTTCGCGGTTCGGCTCCGATTCCTCCTCATCCTCCTCTTCTCCCTTGGGAGGCGGCGCGAGAGCGCGAAGTTATTCGCACTTCGCGCTTCGCGCAGCGCGAAGCGCGAAGTTGGGAGCCCTTGGTTTGTATGTTCGTGTCAGACTGCGCCCCCCTGCCTGCGCGGCCACCTCCGCGGCCACGGCGGCTTCGAGCTGGCCGGGGAGCCCCAGGCGGTGCTCTCCCCGGAGCTCGCGGCTCGCTTCGCCGAGAAGCTGGCGGGCCTGCGGCTCTCCGCCGCGGGGCACCGCCTGAGGTTTCCGAGGAGGGAAAAGGTGCCGAGGAGGAGGAGGAGGAGGAGGAGGAGGAGGAGGAGGAGGAGGAGGAGGAGGAGGAGGAGGAGGAGGAGGAGGGAGGAGGAGGAGGAGGAGGAGGAGGAGGGGAGGAGGAGGAGGAGGAGGAGGAGGAGGAGGAGGAGGAGGAAACGGTACTGCTGCCGCTACCCCGGCGGCGACCCCGCCGCTGGCGCTCAGCGTTGAACGCCGCTGGCGACCCAGAGTCGGTTGATGTTGAACGACCGGGCGTTTCGGAAATGGCCGATCGTTCAAGGTTGAGCGATTCCCGCAGTGTCAGGAACCAAGGCCGGGGTCGACACGACACGAACCTTTTGTACTGATGCCGGGTACCCCTTCGTCGCTTTTGTTTTTTTTGCCTCCTGGGCGGCCCTCGTCGCCACCGCTGGATGCGCTTCGAAATTCTGATCAGAACGCACCCCAGGAGAGGCCAAGAGAATAGCGGCGCGTTATCGGTATCTCCTGGTTTCCCCATCAGAAGCCCGGGCCTCGTCTTCCACGCGTCGCCCAGTCGCGACGCCTTGGATAGCATCCTGCGGCGCGGCTTCCTATTGCCTGGGGACTGGGTCGAGGTCCGAGGCGGGGATGGATCCCCAACCACCGCCTGGGGGGATCGGCCTTCCAGGACCTCGGCAGGCGGTGTATGACACAGTGGGGACCCCTTCCAAGAAACACCCTGCTTGCCTCCAGAGGGTACCCTGGGCTTCTTAGGTATCGATGGCTTTTCTCTGGAAAGCGTGACGTTCCGACACCAAAAATCAATGGACGTCTTGGGGTCTCAGGGTTGGGTTTCTTGCGGAAGGTTTCTTGTGGTCTAGCCTCCACTGTATGGATGATATGTTTACCCCCGCCCCCACCCAGGGCCCGAAGATGTCTGGATCCACCGCCCGCCGAGGTCCCCGATGGTCGATCCCTGAGGCGCTGGTTAGGGATACTCCCCGCCTCGCTCGAGGGTACTCCGTCCTACCAGCGGGAGAGCCACGGCAGCCGCAGCGGAGTCGGCGTGTACTGCTCGCCGGACCTCGACCTGGCGGACTGCTACGGCGGGGAGTCCAGCGAGGGCCTCGCCATTGTCGCCCTCGCCGCGTTCGGGGTGTGCTGGGAGCCCCGCGACAGGTTCGATGAGAAGATGGAGCAGTCGCGGCTGCAGTGGCAGCGGCTGCAGTGGTTCAGCTCGAGCTTCCGCACGGGCGAGGTGCAGGGAGGCTGGCGCAAAGAAGGCCGCTTCTGGGCCGCCGCCGGCGAAGAGCAGGACCCGCGCGCAGAGAGGCTGCTGGCTCACGCGCCCGACGCGAGTGGCCTCTACGATGGCGCCTTCCACAGCCGGTGGTGCAAGAACGGCTCCCACACGGAGATCGTCCTGGCCTCTCCGGAGCAGCTGCTGCCCGTGCTCCTGGTCCCCTACCGGCGCCGCGGGGCGCAGCCGCCGAGCGGCCGCGAGTTGGGCTGCATGCCCGAGCAAAGGCTGGAGTGCGTGGCTCTCCGCGGAGCGCCTGGCTCGGATCCGTCGGCCCTGGCCCTGGAGGAGGACTCCGAGTGGGCGATCTTCGTGGACTGGGCAGCCCACCAGGGCCCGGGCTACGGCCTCGGCGGCGGCGCGGACCCGCGCGCCCCCTCCGTCCGCCTGTGCTTCCTCCTGGACGAGGCCGTCCGAAGCTCGGCCTTCGGGGGGCTCCTGCCCTCGCTGGTCCAGGGGCTCTCGGGCGCCGTGCAGCCGGCCGAGGCCGCCGCCGTCTGGTTCGACGCGGCCCGCGGGGTGGACGTCGGCCGCTCCGTCCCCTTCTCCACGCCGGAGGCCCTCGGGGCCGCGCTGGAGGAGGCGCGCTCCGCCCGTCTCCGGGCGGAGGGGGCGGCGGCCTGCGGGGGCACGGGCCTCGCGCAGGCGGTGCGCTTCGCCACGGACGGGGCGCTGCGGAAGCTGTCGCGCGAGACCGAGAGGTACCTGGCAAGCATGGCGGAGCCGTGGCACCGCCTCCAGAGCGGCGACGACCTGGTCTCCGTGCGGTGCGAGCGGCCCGCGAGGGCCAGGGTGATCAGCGTCGAGCGCGACGTGTTCCGCATCACCGGCATCACCGTCGGCTGGGCCCTGCACGGAGGGCAGGTGCGAGTGCAGCGCGCTGCCAGGGTGGAGGCCCAGGATGCCGCGGAGCTCAGGGTGGCGTGGGAAGACGGTGGCATGACGTGCTTCGCCGCCGCGGGGGTGCGCGGACTGCGGCGCTGCAGGGCCCGGGACGTGGCCGCGGAGACCCAGTTCTTGTTTGTGGTTGTCTCTGGCCTCGGCCCGGCGCACATGGGCGGGCCCGCTCTAGAGGCGCTGGCGTGCTGCGTGGGCAGCTGCCGTTCCCAGCTCCACGGCAGCGGAGCGCGGTGCGCCTGGGTGCCGGTTGTGCTCGGCGGTGGCGCTGCCAGCGAGCGCCTGGGCGCGTACCTGAAGGCGCAGCTCTCCACGGGCACGGGCGCTTCTGGCGGCGGCGGTGCGTGGTGGGAGCCAGTGCACCGCTGCGAGCAGCCCGAGGACTTGCCGAGGGTGCTTGGCGTGCTGCAGGAGGACCTGCTGGCCTGGTCCGAGGATGGGGCGCGCATGGGCGCCAACGTTTCCCTGGACCAGCGATTCGTGGTGCACGGCCGCGGCTTCGTCGTCGACCCCATGGAGCCCCCGCGCTGGGAGGTGCGCGTGCGCCGCCCGAGGCCTGAACTGGAGTCCGCGAACTTCATGCGGGGCACGTGCCTGATCTTCAAGGGCCCGCCGCCTCGCACGCTGACCGTCGACGGCGTGGCATTCGGCGTGAGCCTGGTGCCCCAGAGGGGCCAGGCCGCGCCGGCGCGCACCTCCGCCGCGCTGGAGCTCGGCTTTGCCCTGGAAAAGCTCGCCCAGAAGCTGCGCGTCGCCGTGCTCGGCTGCAGCGAGGGCCCCCTGACCTTGGGCGCCGCCGCAGGCGCGGCGCCGACGCGGCAGCGGCTGGAGGAGTGGAGCGCCAGGCTGCGGAGGTGGGCGGCCCGGCTGGACTGCCTCGAGCTTCCGCCCGAGCCTGCAGAGGCCACAGCCACAGCCAAGGCCGCCGGCGCGAGCAGCCGTCGCGAGCCGGAGCGGGCAGGGTTGCCGTTGCTGTGGAGCTTGCCGCCCGCCCAACGAGCCTCGTACGTGCGGCGGCGCCGCGGAGTCGCCCACTCCGTGCAACGCACCACGGGCCTGGCGGAGGACGCGCTGCGGTTGCAGGCCGCCAGCGAGGAGGAGCCTGGCGCGGCCGCCTGGCTGCGACGCGTCTCGCAGATGCGGTTCGGAAGGGGTATTCTGCGCCGTGCCGGGGACGCCGAGGCGCGGACGCCCGAGGCGGAGTCGCTGGAGGGGCTGCGAGCAGCGCTCGGCTCGCTGCAGGCTGCAGCAGGCAGCAGCCCGGGGGCAGCGGCGTGGCTCGTCTCCACGGCCTCGGGGCTCTCGGCCCGGGACCACGCGGCCCAGGCGGGCGTCGCCCTCGACGCGGGCCTGCAGGACCTGCAGTCCGCCGTCTACGCCGTGGGGATGGTGGGCGTGCAGATCCGATGCGTCCGCACCGAGGCCTCAAATGTGGAGCCCTGGCTGCTGATCGTGGAGCACGTGTCCCACTCCCTGGCGGATACAGCCAGCGCTGCGTGTGGGTTGGACATCGGGCAGCCCCTGAAGGACGAGGAGGGCGCCGAGGCGCCGGACGTCGCAGTCCTCCTGCCGCAAGGCTCCGAGTGCGCGCTCAGCTGGTTCACCGACTCGCCAGTGTACCAGGCGTACCTCGCCGTGGTCTTCGCCAGGAACCCCGTCTGCTCCCTTCCGTCCCAGCGCTGCGCGCTGCCGGTGCTTGTCTGGGTGAAGTCCGCCGAGCAGATGCTCGAGGAATCGGTCATGGCGTAAGCGTGCACCGTCGGAGGTGCGCGTTGCTTTCTTGGATCGGTGCTGGGCCCCCCGCCCTGGCGCGCGGAGGGCACCAGAGGCCGCCACGGGGGCACCCGTGCCGGTCCGAGGAACCCGCGCGGACTTCCGAAGGTCCATGCGGATGTCATCGTCTGTTCCCTGATGTGCTGCTCTACAAGATGCCACCGGCGGCCCCGGGCGACGCTGGACCTCCTCGGGGGCAACGACAGGGGCGGATAGGCATAGGGGGGATGCATCGACCCCCCAGCGCCCATGATTCGCCGACAGGGGCCCGATAGCCCTAACCCGCCCACGAAGGTGCGGATTCACTATTGGGGGCCTATGGCTGATCCTATCGGCGAGGTATCGCCGATTCCAGATCGATGCATGGCCCCCTAAGCCAGTCTTCCCCTATCGTTGCCCCTCACCACCCACCATTCCACCCAAACCGATCCCGAAGGCCCCAACTTGCCCTCCCTTCCTAGTGGGGGGGCGTCGGGGAACACGGAGAAAGAAACACACGTGGAACCCGCACCCCCTCCAACCTGAAATGTGGGTCTTCGGGTTCGGTTGGGATGGCCTGGTAGGTCGTCAGGACCTCCAAAGAGCGCGGTGGGTGCCGTGGGCGCTGCCTGGCGCGTGCACCTCGCCGCGGCCAACACCGTCGCTCGCCTCGCGCAGGAGGGCGCCTGGTGCCGCCTCGCCCGCGGGCTCGCGGGGGCCGCCGACCCGGCGCGGCTGCTCACGGAGGCCAACGGCGGGCCGCAGTCCGTCTGCGAGGCTCGAAGGAGACAAGCCTGCATGTAAAGCATTGCTTCGTCATCATGTCTGGAACTATTATTTTTAGTGTTATCATTTTTGCTGTGATGATCGTTCGTTTTGTTAGTATTTATATGCTGATGAGGATGCTGCTGCTGCTGCTGCTGCTGCTGCTGCTGCTGCTGCTGATGATGATGATGATGATGATGATGATGATGATGATGATGATGATGGTGGTGGTGGTGATGATGCGGATTATTACTATCATCATTATTGCTACCATGGTGATTGTTTGTAATCGCATTCGTAAAACTATGTAGTAGTATGTTTCGTATTCGTAGAATCATTATCATTATGCATATTTTCATGTGTTGTATGATAGATACCCGCATGTGTTCTCAAATAGTATTCTTGTTGGGATTATTATTATTACTAATCCCATTACGCTTGTTCTGGTTGTTATGGTTAGTGCTATTTTTCCTGATTTATGTTTTCATCCATTATTCGTATGGTTTTGCGTCTCTTTGTGTGTGTGTATGTTTGTGTGTGTATTGCTTCGGCACTTTCAGACAGTCGCGCAATGCAGAAGTTCGGAGCCACGCCCCTCCTCCCTTCCCTGTCACCCAATGTCAACATGCCGAATAGATCGTTCACGAGTGGATTTCTCGCATTATCGGCCTCTGATTGGCATCGTCTCATCTCGATGCCGATTTGGTGGATTCCCTCTGCTTTCGAGGGCACATCCCTAAGATTGTCATCGCCTTTCGGCTTGCCAATCTCAGGGATAGGGACAATCTCGAGGCTGCTTAGGATCGGCGCTCGGCCCCACTGGTGGCCCCTCTGGCGCCGCCCCTGGGCGCGCGCTCCGCGCGCCAGGAGAAGGGGTCCAGCGCGGAGTCCGAGAAGTCCGCGCGGACCTCCAGAGTGCTGTATGCTTATGCAGCTGCCAGTGCTCTACTGCAGGCGCTGGCGGCCCTCTGCTTCGCGCCCGCGGCGGGCGCCCTCTGGCAGGGCGCCGGGGAGGCGGGCCTGCGCAGCCCCCAGCTGGGCCGGCTGGCGCTCGCGCTGCTGGCGGAGGCCGTGTCGAGGGGCTGCCGCAAGCTGTGCCGGAGCCGCGCGCCGGGCCACGCGGGCGGGGGGGGGCGCAGCGTCGAGCAGCAGATGCTGTGGGACGCACTGGGCATCACCGACGATTCGGTGATCCAGCCTGGCGCCGGGCAAGGCGGCAAGGCTCGGAGTCGGGGCTCAAGGGACGGGGGGTCCATGCCAGCGGGGGTCAGCAAGAGCGCCAGACCTTGCAGGATCTGGCAGGGCCAGGGGTGCACTGACCCGGGCTTGGGCCTGGGCGCAGGATCCTGCAGGATCCTGCAAGATCTTGCAGGATCCTGCAAGGCCCAACTGACCCGGGTCTGGATTGACCCGAGTCAGTATGTCCCCGACGGAGGAGGAAGATATTCAGTCAAAGCTCATCGTGAGAGCGCACGGATGTCCTCAAGTTGCCCTGCCGTCCTTGCATCTGCGGCCCGTCCTTCGCGGTTTTGAGTGGCTGGCCCCCCCGGGTGTTGACAGTCCGCCACCAAAATGATGCCAATTTCGGTGTCCGAGGCCCTCGCATCCGTACCGTAGACGTCGACTATACCAGCACCGCTGTGCTAGCCTCGTCACCACGGCTGCGGTCGCCTCGAAGCTCTGGTCCGAGCGTGCCCCTGGAGAGGCCCCGGGGAGTGTCGGCATCGGTGCCCTCCCAGCCTCCCCTGAGAGGTCGGCGAGGACTGCCACAGCGACGCGTTCGACCTCCAGAGGGCCCTCAGGCGCAGCGCGCTCTTCTTCTCGCCGGAGGGGAAGTACTTCGCCATGGGCCGCACCAACTGCAGCCCGCAGGGAGTGGTGGCTCTGCTCCTGCCTCTGCCCCGGCTCCTCCCCCTCTCCCGCTCGTCTCCCCCGAGGTCCGGCGACGGGAAGCCGTGCGGGGCGTTCCAGCGAGGGCGTCGCCTCCGATGCGTCCAGCGGTGGGCCATCTCTTCCCCAACGGAAGAAGGCGGAGGGTCCGCAGGAGCCAGCGGAAGCAAAACGAGGGCTGCTTCGCCAGCGGAGGTTCGCGGAGGGCCAGCGGAAGCTGGCGGAATTCAAAGATGTGCCCCCAAGGGTCGTCAACATCTTCTGGGCGCAGGAATTCCGAAGGCGACCACATCGTGTAGTGGAAAGATTTCGGGGGTGGCCAAGAAGGGTGTGATGACTAGGTGTGTGCGTGCGTGTGCGTGTGCGCGCGTGTGTGTGTGTGTGTGTGTGTGTGTGTGTTTGTTGTTGTTGTTGTTGTTGTTGTTGTTGTTGTTGTTATTGTGGTGGTTGTGGTGGTGGTGGTGGTGGTGGTGGTGGTGGTGGTTGTTGTTGTTGTTGTGTTGTTGTTGTTCTTGTTCTTGTTCTTGTTGTTGTTGTTGTCGTTGCTGTTGCTGTTGCTGTTGCTGTTGTTGTTGTCGTTGCTGCTGTTGTTGTTGCCGTTGCTGTTGCTGTTGCTGTTGTTGCTGTTGTTGTTGTTGATGTTACTGCTGTTGTTGTTGCTGCTGCTGCTGCTGTTGTTGTTGTTGTGGTTGTTGTTGTTGTTGTTGTTGTTGTTGTTGTTGTTATTCTTGTATTTGTTGTTGTTGTTGTTGTTGTTGTTGTTGTTGTTGTTGTTGTTGTTGCGTGTTGTGTGTTGATATCACGGCCATGGCCTGTGCCCCCCACAGGTTATCATGGGTTATTTTTCTTATTATTCGTCTTCTTATCGTTACTCTTCTTTTTTCAGTACGTCCTCCGTTTTCTCTCGTCCGCGCACATGCCTCGGGTCCTGATTTGCGACACCCCCTCCTGTGTCCCCCTTCTTGGACGCCCTCGAGGGATGTTTGCTAGCGTGGGCCCTATCTGATGAGTTCTTGCGTTCTGGATGTGCAAGATATGTGGTGCGAGCTATGCGATTTTACCTCCATGTGGTGTATGCTATATGGTGTCTATATGCTACAACCAACGTGCGCTACGTGGCACAATTTAGACCACTGCGCAGTCAATGAAGAACCCCCCCCGCCCGCCCCCACGCTTTTAGCGGAAATTGTCTACGCTTCGCGAATCCCCGCCAGCCCATCCAGAAGCCCCGTCCACGAGAGCTGACGGGAAATGGAAAGCAGAGACGCATACAGTGACACAGAGCGGTCAAAGAGAGGAGGGGGAGGAACGTGTTGAGCCATCTTGGAGGCTATCTTGGAGCATCGGAGGCCTTCTTGGAGCTATAGGGGTCTAGAAGGGGCATCTTGGGGTCCTTTTGGAGCTCTTGTGGGGCATCTTGGGGCCCTCTGGGGGCTCTTTGGGGGGTCTTGGGGGGGCCCTCATGGGGCCCTCTTGGAGCTTTCTTGGGGCTCTCTTGGGGACCTCTTGGGAGCCCTGGAGGGCCTCTTAGGGCTGTCGTGGAGGGTGTGGTGAACAAAAGGGTGGTTCCTAACGTTCGTTTGGTCCCCCTCTGGGGCCATCAAAATAGCCCCTTGGGGCGCTCTTGGGCCTCTCTTAGAGCGCTCTTGGGCGGTCTTGGGGCCGTCTCGGGGGCATATTGGGCCCCTCTTGGAGCTCTCTTGGGCCATCTTGGGGCCACCTTGACGCCCCAAGAACGCATCGGAAGCGAGAAGGCGAGAAGGCACACATCATTGATTTTCCTTAGGTTATTGGAACAATTTGGCTTCTCGGGGAGGCCCTGAGGGGTTTCCGAGGGCACCTGGAGCCGTCTCGTGGCCCTCGTGGGGCCTTTGGGAGGCATGTCGGAAGCTGTCTTGAAGCATCTTCGACTGTCCTGGGCCATCCTGGAGGCCATCTTGGGCTCTCGGAGGCCCTCTTGGAGCCATCTTGGGCCACCTCGGGCGCTCTACCCCCTCGCGGCCCCCCCGTCCAGGTCCAGGGGAGGGGGCGGGTGGAGGGGTAAACTCCCCGAAGGGGAAGAGGGTGTTCTTTTGGAGTAGAAAAGAAGGATCTCGTGCGCCCAGAGGGCTGGCAGGACTCGCAAGATATGCTCCCGGCCCAACAAGTGCCCCCAGGAGCTCCAGGAGGCCCTGGCGGCCTCCAGAGCACGCTCCACGAGTCCTGGAGGGCCCCCTGGGCTCTGGAGCGCGTCGAAGAGCTGGGGACAGCCCGAGCCGGGACCACCCCTCGCAGGCTCTCTGAAACTCAACGCGCCCTGGACCACGCGGTATGGCCCCCGGCCCCAAGAAGAAGCCGCCGGCGAGCACCGGGCAGGGGCTGCGGGGCGCCGGAGGATCGCTGGCACGCTACGGTGAAGACGCTGAAGTCAAGGGAGGAACAGCTACCCGGACCCGACAATTGGCGTTCATTAGACGGCCCTGGGCGTTTGCTAAACAGCCCTGCCCTGTTTGATTGCTTCCTTGGGTGCGTTTACTAAAGGGCTTCGCGTGTCGGGTGGTTATGATCGGTGTCGATTTTCTGCCCTCTGTGAAGTCAGGGCCATTTGGGGCTCAGTTGGGGCTCTGCTTTTTTGGTGTTCTCATCTACAGTTCGGTCGGGGAAACTCTTCGTGGGCCAGGCTCGCCGCGGCCAGACAAAAGCCGCTTCATTCCTGATTGTTGCGTTCCTGCTGGTAGCACGATGGTTGAAGGATCGTATCTGATGGGGGGCCCTCATTAGGGATTTCAGTGGGATTCCTGTAGGAGCGCCTCAGGACTCCAATGGGACTCACGTGGGACTCGTATAGGAGTACTGAAGCTTCAGCAGGAGTCCTGAACGACACGTTCGTGACGCCCTGTTTGCACACCTGGCGTCGTGCCTGCCTGTGCGTATAGATTTCCAAAAAGTGTTTGCATTTGAGGGTTTATATTTAATCGCTTCGCTCATTCCGCCAGCCCTCGAGCGCTCAATGGGGACTCTGAAGCTTCTTGGGGGCCTCTTTGGGGCCTCCTAGGGGCCTCTTGGGGGCCTCTTGGGGCTTCTTGGCGGCGTCTTGGGGCCCCCTTGGGCCTCTTGGGGGCTCTTGGGGGCCTCTTGGGGCGGGGTAGTCGAGTGCACCCCCCTCGGAGGCTACGATCCTCGTGAGGGGTGTCGAAAAAAAGGCCCTCAAAACCAGCTCTCAGTAGACCTGGTCGGGCTGCGGTCGGGATACTTTTCGCTGGGGGACCCCCGGGGGCCGCCCCGCGCGCGCGCGTTCATATATTCGGTTGATATTCCGTGCTTTCTCTGCGTTGCCGCCCGTGTCGCCTTGTGGACGCCCCGTGCGCTTGGGGGGGGTATGCCGAGGCTGCGCCGCGCTGCTGCCCTCTGCCGCCTCGCGGGTGCCCCGTGCGCGGGGGCGAACTGCCGAGTCTGCGCCACGCTGCCGCCAGTCGCCTCGCGGGCGCCTCGTGGGCGCCCCGTGCACTCGGCTTACAGGACCTAATTGTCACCACATTTCCCACACCACATAGCTTGCGCCGCGGCTTTCGCACCGCATAGTGTATAGCACACAGCTTATAGTCCATAGCTTTCACCTCCAGTTCGCACCGCTTATCTTACACGAGATCTCTTTCACATAGCTCTCGCCGCAGAGTTTCCACCTCCCCAGCTCACACTGCACAGCTTACACGATACAGCTTTCACCACATAACCCTCACTCATCGCATAGCTTCACCCTCACAGTGCAATCCTGCACTGTTTGGGGTCCACGCTGGCTAACACGTGCATGCGCGTAAGTGTATATATATATATATATATCTCCGTAAGGGCTTCGTCCCCTGCCGCCGGCGCCCTCTCTACCAGAGTGGGATATAACAGAGTCGCGCTGGTGCGTCTCGGCGCTGCCTTGGCGCATCTGGGAACAGCATGCGGGGGCGGATAGGAATCATCAGCGCATATTGAAACGTTGGCGTTATCGAAGACGCCTACAGCGAATCACCGCCACCCCCTGCCTTTTTGGAAGCGCCTGCGTGGCCGAAAGTTGGGTTTGAGCTTGGCCAAGCTGTCGGGCCACGAGTTCCCCGAGTGGGTTTCGAAAGCCTTCGGGGAACACCGAGTCGGGCGAGCTATCGGACCAGGTGGTTTCTGAGCTTTCGGGCCTCCTGGAGGACGTTTTGGATGGGTCTTGGGCCGTCTTGGAGGCCTCTGGCGGGCCTTTTTGGGCAGTCGAAGGCCATCTTCAGGCCATCTGGGGCCCTCTTGGGTTCATCCTGGGGCCATCTTGGCCGTCTTGGAGGCCTTCTTGGCCGTCTTCCAGGCATCTTGGAGGCCATCTTGGCCGTCTTGGAGGCCATCTTGGGCGTCTTGGGGGCCTCTTGGGCCGTCTTGTGGCCTTCTTAGGGCCACCTTGGAGGCCCCTTGGACTGACGTGGGGCCATCTTGGAGGCCTCCTCGGCGCTCTTGGGTCGATGTTGGGGGCCGCTGGGGCCGTCTTGGGCCGTCGGAGAGCTGAAAAGGAGCAAGAGCCACAATCCTGGAAACACCTAAGGCAATTCGATGATTTTGGCCCTTTCGGGCCTTCCCTGGAGGACGTCTTGGAGGGCTCTTGGGCCTTCTCGGAGGCCTCTTGCGGGCCTATAGGGCCGTCTCAGGACACCTGTAGGCCATTTTTGGGCCGTCCTGGGTGCATCTTGGGGCCATCTTGGCCGTCTTGGAGGCCATCGTGGCCATCTTGGAGGCCATCTTGGCCGTCTTGGAGGCCATTATGGGCGTCGTGGGGACCTCTTGGGCCGTGCTGTGGCCTTTTTGGGGCCCTCTTGGGGGCCTCTTCGGCTGTCATGGGGCCATCTTGGAGGCCTCGAGGGCGCTCTCGGGTCGATGTTGGGGGCCGCTTGGGCCGTCTTGGGCCGTCGGAGAGCTGAAAAGGAGCGAAAGCCCAAATCCTTCAACACACCTAGGGATAATCAGTAAGTTTAACCTGGTCGGTCCTTCCTGGAGGACGTCTTGGCGGCCTCTTGGGCCTTCTTGGAGGCCTCTTGCGGGCCTGTTGGGCAGTCGAAGGCCATCATCAGGCCATCTGGGGCCCTCCTGGGTGCATATTGGGGTCATCTTGGCTGTCTTGGAGGCCATCGGGGCCGTCTTGGAGGCATCTTGGAGTTCATCTTGGCCGTCTTGGAGGCCATCTTGGGCGTCTTGGGGGCCTCTTGGGCCGTGTTGGGGCCTTCTTGGGGCCCTCTTGGGGGCCTCTTGGGCCGCCCTGTGACCGTCTTGGTGGCTTATTGGGCACTCTTGGGGCGATCCTGACGGCTTCTTGGGCAGTCTTGGGCCGTCGGAGTCCGAAAAGGAACAGAAGCCCAAATCCTTCAAACACCTATGGAAAAACTATGATTTTGACCTCTTCGGGCCGTCCTTGAGAACCCTGGAGGACCTCTTCGAGGCCTCGTGGGTCGTCTTGGAGGCCTATTGCAGGCCTCTGGGGCCGCCGTGAGCCGTCGTAGGTGTTTCTTATGCGAACTTGGAAGCATCCTGGACTCTTGTGGGCCGTCTTCGAGGCCATCTTAGACCATCTTGGGCGAACCTGGAGGCCATCTTCGGCCATCTTGGCCATCTTGGAGGCCATCTTAGAGCCGTCTGGAGGCGAAAATCCCTTTGCAGCCACCTTGTATGCACTTCTCCGGGTGGCCAGCAGGACGGGCCGAAGGCCCAGGGGGAGTTCTTTTGGAAAGACAACCAAAAGCAAAACCGAAAGGGTCTAGCACTCCGGGCACCCCTGTGACAAGCCAACATGGGGGCGCGGATCGAAGACGCCTACGGCCCGCCGCCCCCTGCCCCTTTGGAAGCGCCTCTGTGGCCGACAGCTGGGCCAGAGCTTGGCCAAGCTATCGGGCCAGTTATCCCCCGAGTCGGCCCGGAGAGACTTCGGGGAACGCATGGGGGAGCAAGCAGAGGAGGAGGGGGAGGATGAGGAAAGAGGAGGAGGAGGAGGAGGAGGAGGAGGAGGAGGAGGAGGAGGAGGAGGAGGGAGGAGGAGGAGGAGGTTGGAGGAGGAGGAGGAGGAGGAGGAGGAGAGAGGAGGAGGAGGAGGAGGAGGAGGACGAGGAGGCCTCTTGGGCGCCTCTTGGGGCACTCCTGGGGCCTCCTGGGAGCTTCGTGGGGGCCTCTTGGATGGTTTTTGGGGGCCTTTGGGGGCTTCTTGGGGGCCTCTTTGACCGTCTTAGGGCGTTCCTGGCTTGTCTGACGCCGTCGGAAGCCGTCTTGGGGGCCTGTCTGGGTCGTCTTGGGGCCCTCGTGTAGGCCATCTTGGGCGTCTTTGAGGCCTCTTGGGCCTTTTTGGGGTCCTCTTGGGGCCGTCTTGGGGCTTTTTGGGCCGTCATGGGGCCACCTTGGAGGCCTCTTGGGCGATCTTGGGGGCCTCTTGCGCCGTCTCGAGCCGTCGGAATGCCGAGAAGAAGCAAGCGCAACAATCTGTCAAAAACCATAGGACAAACAATGATTTTGGCCCCTTCGTGTCCTCCTGGACGACCTCCTGGACGCCTTTTGGGCCGTCTTGGAGGCCTCTTGGGGGCCTCTTGGGCCGTCTTGGGCCACTCGAGGCCATCTTAGGCCGTCTTGGGTTCACCTTAGGCCGTCTTGGAGACATCTTGGGGCCAGCTTAACCGTCTTGAAGGCCATTTTGGCAGTTTTGGAGGCCTCCTGGCCCCTCTTAGGGCCATCTTGGGGGCCTCTTGGGGCCATCGTTTTGCCGATCGGCGCGGACCGTCCAACCCTCCCCTCCGCCCCCCCCCATGGAGTAGGTCTTGGCTGTTTTGGGTGCCTGTTTCGAGCAGGTGGAGCCTCCCCCTATGGGACGCACTGTTGCAGACAGTCGCATCAAGCAGAGGTCCAGAGCCAGACCCCCCTCTACCCCCCCCTTCCGCCCAAGGTCGGAACGCCGAAAAAGAAAACGCTCGCCAGGTGAAATCATGACACAGTCGCCCAATTACTCGAGACACCAGTCGGCAGGAGGAAGGAAGGGAGGAAACGCGGAGTACGGCCCGCGCGCGCCTGCGCGGCTGCGTGCCCTCGGAGTACACAGCGCCTTGGGAACTGCGCCTACGGATGTTGAGCACATCTCTCTGGCTCGTCAGGGTTCATTTCGACTCCTCCGATTCGATTCGATTTCGATGGCTCCCGATTCCGATTCGATTCGCCTTCGGATTCCGATTTGGGCTCCGAGTTCTCAATGAAGACGCACGAATCTGCCGATTCCCGCCGATTCGACGTTTCCTGACTCGGGGCTGCCGATTTCCGCCGATCCGATTCATCTCGATCGCCGATCCGACTTGTCACTTCGATTTTGGGGGCGCCTGCCTCGTTTCTCGAGCCAGATCGATGTGTGAGAGCGAGGCGTGGTCGGACGCACGACAAGCAGACTGGTCGCGAGTCTCCGTGGCTCCCAGGTCAGAGGGTCCTACATCCTGGCGGGCTTCCTGGCCACAGCTCCGCTGGGGCCCCCGGCGACCGTTCGGGGCCCCCGTGGGCTCCCCGCAAGGCTCCCGCTCCCCCTCCGCCTCCCGCGCTCTCCTCCTCCTCCTCCTCCTCCTCCTCCTCCTCCTCCTCCTCCTCGCAGTCGGCATCGTCCTCGCCTGCCTCGCCGTGCTCCTAGTCCTCCCTCCTCTGCGCCTCTGCCGCCCTCGCCTCCGCCCCCGTCGCCCCCGTCGAACCCACCGCCCTCGCCGCGGCCGCCGCTGCCGCTGCCCCAGGCCCCCGCCATCTTCGCCACATGCCCTGGCCGCCTCCTCCTCCTCCGCTATTTCCGCTATTTGCAGCGCCTTGAAGGGTTTGATTCCTGAAGCGCAACACGGCGGCAGCTGCCGCCGACCATGGCGCCTCCGCGCCCGAGCCTAGCCGCGCACGTGGCTGACACGCGGGCGCCTTCGGCGCCGGGGGGGGGGGGGGGGGGGCCCCCCAGGGCCTCCTCTCCTCCTTCCTCCCTCCTCCTCCATCCCCCCTCCTCTTCCTCCTCCTCCTCCTCCTCCTCTCTCCTCCGCCTCCTCTTCTCCTCCTCCATCCTCCTCCCCTCCTCCTCCTCCTACTCCTCCTCCTCCTCCCTCCTCCTCCTTCTCCCCCTCCTCTTTCTCCTCCTATCCTCCTCCTCCTCCTCCTCCCTCCTCCTCCCTCCTCCTCCTCCTCCTCCTCCTCCTCCTCCCCCTCCCTGCCGCCGCGCCGCCTCGCAGGTGGGGAGCCTGCTGCTGCGCCTGGCCGCCGGCGCCCTCGGCCCGACCGTCGGCGCGGCCGCGGGCCCCGAGGCGGCCGCGGCGGTGGCGGGCCGGCTGTGGCGCCGTGAGGCCTCCACGTCGGCGTGGTCTCCTAGATGGGGTCGGAGTAGATGGGGTCGGAGGATCAAGCCGCATCGCCGATGCATCGCCGATGCGGCTCGATGTGGAGCCCGTGTTTCTCCACGCCGACGTCGCCGATGCATCGCCGATGCATCGCTGATGCATCGGCGATGCATTGGCGATGCGGCGCGATCCTGCGACCCCATCTACACGGACCCCATCTAGGAGGCCTCTAGAGGATCGATCGGAGGTTTGAAGGGGCAAGTGATCCACCACCACTTACAACATGTCGGACGGGGGAGAAGGGAGGATGAGGATGTCCTCCTCCTCTCCTCTCCTCCTCCTCCTCCTCCTCCTCCTCCTCTCTCTCATCCCCTCCTCCTCCTCCTCTCCTCCCTCCTCCTCCTCCTCCTCCTCCTCCTCCTCCTCCTCCTCCTCCTCCCTCCTCCTCCCTCTCCCACCTATGGTAATGGTGGTGGTGGTGGTGGTGGTGGTGGTGGAAAACGGGCCCAGCAGGGTTGCTAAAGAGATGCGCCTGGCCCCAGGTGCCCCCAGGAGTTCCAAGCAGGCCCCCACGGGCCTCCAGAGCACCCCTCGCGCGGCCCAGAGGGCCAGAGGGGCTCCCACGTGAAGCGAGCAGCCCCAGCTGTGCGCTCCGTCTTGGAGCCCCTGGGGCCCTCTGGGCCTCGCGACGGGTACGTATACCCTGGAGGCTCGTGGGGGCCTGCTCGAGGCTCGTGGGGGCCTGCTTGAGGCTCGTGGGGGCGCCCGAGGCCAGGGGCACTCTTTTCAGCAGCACCCGATCGCGAGGGCTCGAGGGCTCCAGGGGGGCTGAGGGACGGGGCTCGAGGGGTGCAGGCGCCTCCGCCCTCATCGAGGGCCTCTGGTGGCGTTCGAGGATCGAGGACTGGGGTCCGAGGGCCTCGGTGGCTTGCGCCAGGCCTTTGCAGAGGTTCCCACACGAGGCGTTCGAGGTTCGCGGATCTGCAGCCAACGGTGAAGCTGCCCTCCGCGGGTCCAATCGACGCCGGGGTATCGGACACCCCCGCTGGGGTTGGCTCGGCTGCAGACAGTCTTCGCATTCTGAGCCCCAGGCAGTCTTTTGTAATCTTATTTTTTTTCCGTTTTTTCAAACATCGGACCTGCAGGGGTAGAGCTCGAACCCGGTTGCCCAGGGGATCAAGGGCTCGCAGGCTCGGGGGGGGCTCGGGGCGAGGTCCGAGGCTTCCAGGCGTTCCTGGCCTCCTCGAGGGCCTCCCTTAGCTGCCACGGCCAGGTCCACCTCGAGGTTCAAGCCAGAGGGCCTCTCCCACCAGCAGAGGTCTGGTCGTGCCGGGGGCGTCGTTTTCGATGTCCGATCGATGATCGAGGGTTTGAGGTTCCTTTTCACGTTCTGAGGGCATCGGGGGGCTTCTCGTCGCTACGGCTGGATTTCCATCGAAGTTCTGGTCAAGATGGATCCCAGGAGGTGTCCGCTGTCTTGTTTTGAGCGGAGTTTCCCCAGACCTCGAGGCGTGAGGAAAGAAACTACAGGAGGGGATCGAGAAGAGAGGATCAAGGTTTTGGACTGCGTTTCGCAACGATTCGAATGCGCGTCGCCGCTTTTTTGACAGCAGTGCATGAGCACATCAAGGCGCTGCGCAGAGGACGTGCAAATGGACCCACAGGAGAGGGAAGAGGGGTAGAGAGAGAGAGAGAGAGAGAGATTAGGGCTACCCATTGGGGTCTCCTCCTCGCTTCTCCCGTTTGGATGGCGGGGGGAGATCAGAGGCAACGGGCCCGTGCATCCTTACTTGTCGCAGCGAGTCGAGTCCGCAGCTTCGCGATTCGGGTGCGTCGTGTGGCGACTCGGGCGCTGCTCCACAGCGCGCAGGGTCTCGAGTTGCGCTGCGCCAGTGCGCTGCGGTGCGGCGTCACAGCGCAGGGTGCCGAGAGTGAAGTGTCTTGAGTCTGAAGCGCGGCAGATCGCGCCCGCCGCGCCAGGTCAGAGGAGGAACAGCTACCAATACTGCTACTCTTGTCCCGTTTTCGCCTTCGTTGGGCCTCCTGGGGGGCCCTCGTCGCCACGGCTGGATTCGCCTCGACATTTCGGTCAGAACGTGCTTTGGGAGAGGTCCAGGGAACATCGGCACCGGCACCTTTTTTTGGTTTCCCCAGTAAGGGGGTTTGTTCGTCTAACTGGAGCAGGGTTGTGTGGTCTTAATTCTGGTCATAGGTGATTATTTTGCCAATGGGCCAAGAATTAAGAATCGCCGGCCGTGTCATGGGCACTTCAAGGAGGTGGGTCCTTGTGGCAGGAATCAGGAATCAAGGAGGAGCCAAAGCTCGCCATGCCCGCGCTGGGACCACGAGGAGGATGGGCCCACGTGGCGAGCAGCATGGTGATGCAGCCGTGGTGTCAACGCGTCCTCTGTCCACACCTGCCCGGGTGGAGCAACGCTCGTAGACATGTCGCGGGGGTTCCCCGGCCACCACCGTGTCAATGTTGAGCTACACTGTCAATGCCTCGCTCTCCTGGGGCTCTGCTGTATTCCTATTCCTGCTCGTTGACACTTGTTACGTTTGCGGAGCTGCACCGACCATGCCGCGCTCTCCTGTGGCCTTGCTGTGCTCCTGCTCGCAACGCACACCGCCAGAGGCGGCGGAGAGCTTGAGAGAGCCACCTACCAAAAGTCGCCGAGCGCGTTCCACTACTCGCAAAGTGCCTCCTCGCAAACGTCAGAGAACCACGCGTCTGCCCTCTGTGTTATCTTGCGTAGATCCCCTGTGGTAGATCCAGGCCACGTGCGAGTACAGTCGACCCGCAGAGTAAGGATAGGCATCCCTCCCAAGGGTACCCCCTTTCATCCTTGCTTCGTGGGTCCATCCTTGGACACTTTCGTTGGCCGCGCCCCGCTCGAAACGCTTGGAGATGGGCTTCCAAGGGCCTTGCATCCTTATCGCGCATCCTTACTCTGCGGGTTGACTGTAGCCACTCTGCGAGTCGTGGAGCGCGCCTGCCCAAGAGTGCATCGGCGCCACCGCGTGGCGTCGCAGCGTGGCGCCACGGTGCCGCGTCGCAGCGGGCCGACTCCCGGCCTGGCCCCCGCGGCGGGGGGAACCCCTCGCTCGGCGGCGTGGCGCGGTGCTTGCAGGCACCGCGCCCGTGCGCCGCCCGGCCGCCGGCCGCCTGGCCGGGGCCTGCTCTTCTCGGGAGGCCTGCGGCGAGGGTCAAGTCGGGCCTGTCCCTCTGCAGGAGGAATACTCAAGAATCTTTGGGGCCTGTCCCTGTGCAGGTGGAATGCTCAAGAATTGTCAAATATAGTCTGGGGACTTCTTAAATATTTTTTTTTTTTTTTTTTTTTTTTTTTTTTTTTTAAAAAGTAAAACATATGTTACATGTACACAAATACATTTATGTATACATATAGATATATATACATATAGTCGCCGCCACGGCTTAAGCATTTCATGCGACCGAAGACACCACACGCTAGCTTGTCCCACACCGCTGTCAGACATATGTGGTGGTTATGAGCAGGAGCAGCGGCGGCTGGCGCCTGCTGCGGTTTGTTTCGATCAATCCGCTGACCCTGGCGGCTCCCGCCAGATTGCAGGACATCACAAACGAGTTCGTGAAGCATGACGCCCTCCTGTTGCAGGGCACGCAGTTCAAGGCAGCCAGAGGCAAAGAAGTGGACCATCTTCATACCAGCAGTCACTTGTATTGGCACAGTGGACACCATATTCAGAGTAACGAAGCTTGTGGAGTTGCAGTCGGCTTCAACAAGAGTAGATATCCGAGTGAGTTTGTCACCAGAGTTGAACATGGTCAAGGCGACCTCCAAGGGCGCGCCATCTGTCTCAGGTATCGGCGTGGAAGACAGGATCTGGCGATTATGTCGTGCTATTTCCCACCAAGAGGCGTGGGCAGAGGAGCAGTCGCCAGACCAAAGAGAATCTGCAAGCTGTCCGTAGACTGGGTACAACAACGACTTGATGAGTTGCCCACTCGATGTGTACCCATCATAGGAATGGATTTGAACAGCACTTGCGGAGAGCATATATCGGAGCGCCCTGTTGCGGGTGGGGAAGAGCCTGATCGTGATGGACCAAATTCTAGACGCTTCGCGTATCCCCGCCAGCCCGTCCAGAAACGACGCCCAGGCGAGTAGAGGGTCGTCCCGAGGGGCTTTTCGGCGCCTTGGGTGCCTCGGGGGGGGCCTCTTTGGGCCGTTTGGGATCCTCTTGGGGGCCTCCTGGGGGCCTCTTGGGGCCATCTTGGGGCCACCTTGGGGCCTCTTGGTGCCTCCTGGGCGCTTCTTGGGGCCATCTTGGAGGAAATCGATCAAAGAAGAGGGGAGCTGCAATTAGCGCTGCCCCCTCAGAAGGCCAACATGGGGCCAAAACCTGGGTAAAATCAATGATTTTGGCTTCAAAGAAGAGGGGAGCTTTAATTAGCGCAGCCCTTTTCAGAAGGCCACAATGGGGCCAAAACCTTAGTATACTCAATGATTTTGGCTTCAAAGAAGAGGGGAGCTTTAATTAGCCCTGCTCCCTTCAGAAGGCCAACATGGGGCCAAAACCATAGTAAAATCAATGACTTTGGCTTCCTCGCTGAGGCCGTTTTGGACGCTCTGACCGCTCCCCGCCCCTCCTGTCCAGGTCAGTGGGGAGGGGGTAGGGGGAGGGGTAAACCCCGTCCCGAAGGGGAAGAGGGAGGGGTGGAAGAGGAAACGCTCTAAACCACCGACGCCCAGAGGGCTGGTGGGATTTCCTACTACTTAGATCGGCTCTACAGGCTCACCAACTAGCGCTGGTGAACACTTTTGATGCGGCTGGACCCACTTACTTCGGACTGCAGGACGGCGCCCAGCAGCGAATTGACCTCATCGCAATGCCAGCAAGTATGCTCTACAACGTGGACAATTGCCATGTGGCACGTATTAAAGGGCGCAAGCTTCAACACATCCGCTGCGTGCGACCTAAAGATCATCTACCCATATGCGTATCAGTATGGCACACTTTCG